AGTGATAAATATAGACCAGTAGACAATAATATAAACCGGCCCCTGCTCTAAGGAGTAACCCTAAATTTGGTGGAACTGAGGGGAGAAAGAAGCCTACCTTATTGAGATGGTGATGTCCAAGGGGATATGTGCATTTACAATTTAGCAGGTGACTTACTGAATGGGTAGCGCAGTGTGTAGGCCTGTTGAAAGCGAATGCAGATGTGACCTCTAACCATTCCTCATCACACAAACAGCGGCTGATCACAGGGTGAGGCTCTGTTGGCATGATACGGTCAACCCAAAAGAAAATATTGCCCCCCAACAGCAGCAGTGAGCCAGCTGGCCTGAGAATCCAGGTTAATGAAAACTGAGAGAAGAGCCTCCTTTGGGCTAACCAATCAGTCCCCTTGATGAGCTGAAGACTAACTGGACCGTGGAAGACCTTGTGATGTTTGCTTAAGCTGATCAATCGTTGAAGACAGTATTACGTCAAGGATTGAGCACCCACACTGATTGGATGAAAAGGAGGTCGAGCGATTGGGCCTCAGGGTGATAGCGAACTATCCCAGGACCAGGAGTCATCTGATCAACTTGCGGAGGTTGCAATACAGCAGGGTGATCACCTCTTTCACTCTGAGCCTCACACAGTGATTGAGCACACTGTACGGCTAAGCCTGTGATGTAAGATAGTTATCACTGTACTTCGTGGTGTACCTTGTTTCAATAAAGAACAATTTGGTGCAGCTCATTGTTGGGACTGCCTTGGATTATTGACAATCAGGGAAGGTAGGGATATAACCCCTCAGCACTGAGGCTCTGAGTGGGGCATTCCCTCAGTACTGACCCTCCGACAGTGCGGTGCTCCCTCAACACTGACCCTCCGACAGTGCGGTGCTCCCTCAGCACTGACCCTCCGACAGTGCCCACTCCCTCAGCACTGACCCTCCTACAGTGCGGCGCTCCCTCAGTACTGACCATCCCACAGTGTGACATTCCAACAGAAAGTTCTCCCTCAGTTCTTTTATTTTTATTCATTAATGGGATGAGAGCGTCATTGGCCAGGCAGCATTTATTGCCCAGAGGGCAATTCAGAGTCAACCACATTGCTGTGGGTCTGGAGTCACATGTAGGCCCAGACCAGGTAAGGATGGCAGTTTCCTTCCCTAAAGGGCATTAGTGAACCAGATGGGTTTTTCCCCCTCACAATCAACAATGGATTCATGGTCATTAATGGATTCTTTCCTAATAGAATTCAAATTCCACCATCTGCCACGGCAGGATTCGAACCAGGTACCCAGAACATTATCTGGGTCTCTGGATTAACAGTCCAGTGATAATACCACAAGGCCATGACCTCTTTTTCCTGCATGCAGCGCACTTTCAGTAGTGAACCTTAACACTATTATAGACAGGGAATGCTATTTTCTATGACATGCACAGGAACATCCATTATCTTGAATATGCTCAGGGCCTATTGCTGTCAATAATATGGACAGTATCTGGTAATCTTTATACAATATACTGGAATGTTCCTCTTTATAACACACGCACGGAATGTTATTCTAGATAATATGCACTGACTATGCTATTCTCTGTAATACATATTGAATGGTGTTACCATCACTGAATCCCCCACTATCATCATCTTGGGCTTACTATTGACCAGAAACTCAACTGGACTCAACACATAAACACAGCAGCTACAAGAGCAGGTCAGAGGTTAAGAAATATTGCGGTGAGTAACTCCCCTCCTGTCTCCCCCAAAGCCTGTCCCACCATCTACAAGGCACAAGTCAGGAGTGTGATGGAACACTCCCCACTTGCGCTGGATGGGGGCAGCCCCAACAACACTCAAGAAGCTCGACACCATCCAGGACAAAGCAGCCCCCGCTCGATTGGCACTACATCCACAAACATCCCACTCCCTCCCCCCACCGACGCTCAGTCGCAGCAGTGTGTACCATCTACAAGATGCACTGCAGAAATTCACCAAAGATCCTCAGGCAAAACCTTCCAAACCCACGGCCACTTCCATCCAGAAGGACAAGGGCAGCAGATACATGGGAACCCCACCCCCTGCACATTCCCCTCTGAGCCATACACCATCCTGACTTGGAAATATATCGCCGTTCCTTCACCGTCGCTGGGTCACAATCCTGGAATTCCCTCCCTAAGGGACATTGTAGGTCAACCCACAGCAAATGGGCTGCAGCGGTTCAAGAAGGCAGCTCACCCCCACCTTCTCAAGGGGGGCAACTAGGGATGGGGCAATAAATATTGGCTCTGCCGTAAAATGCCCATGTCATACAAGAGA